AACGACACTTAAATTGAAACGAAGGGAGTACTAGAGTGATGATATTGGTGTTTCAAAAAAAAGCCCTCATTATGTTTTAAGGGTTTCTCTCTCTCTCTTGTTTCCATTCTTATCTCACTTCTGTCTCTTCTTCTCGTGTATCATCATCTCCAACTTTTTTTCTCTCTCATAATTCTGAATTTTTCAACTTTTTTTCTCTTTATATTTTAAAATTTAATGAGGTCATTAAAAATTTGAATGAAAAATCAGATGATTCCTTGGAGTGAGATAACATTTCTTATATCTATTGTTATTTATATCATTTGCTAATACTTTATCAATTGGCATTTACATTTGAAGACAAATATGAAACCAATCACATACAATAAAAAGCTAAAGGGTCTTATCAAGAACTGGCAAATTGAAAGGAATAAAAAATAATAATATAAAAAAACAAAAAAAAAAAAAACAAACAAAAAACAAAATCATGACTAGAACTTTAGAGGAAACAAATTGATTTGTTTGCATTGATATTCCTTTATACAACGATGTTTCTTATAGAAGACATTACATTTATTTAGATGAGCATTCTCATACTATTTTTTTTTTTCTTTTTTTCAAAGATGGGTGGTTGGCAAATTGTTGTTTACAATGACTTCAACTTGTTGAACATATAGAACAAGACAAGAAAGAGTAAAATCACAAAACTTCATCGATTATTAAATTGGTGTAAAAAATTCCACTCAAATTAAAAATAAAAAAATCCTAAACTTAAAAAATATTATCAAGTTATCCTAAATTCATATGAATTAATAAAATCACCCTTATAATTTAATGTTAAATTAAAAACTAATAATATTATTATAAAATTATAAAAATAGCCAAGTATACTTCTTCAACAAAGTCACTTTCTAAAACTCTCACCAGACTCAACACCACCAACAAAAACGAGTTACAGCACCAATTCCACCACCACCCAAATCAAAACCATACCCGTCACCATACCCAAACCACGTATATCAGGGGTTGAGGGAGAAGAAACGGTGAAGAATCCCAAACTTCTCGCCGGGAGTGAAGAATCTATATATATATATATGTTTTTTTTGGTTAAAAGTGAAGAGTCTATATATGCTCTGTGTTGTGAGTATACTCTTGTAATTTCGAAGAAAGTTGGTCAAAGACATTAAACATTTACTATTCAACACATCTATTAAAAAGAAGGGAAAAAAAACGTTTATTAATTAGACAATAAAATAGTATTCACGTGAAACATTCATCTCGAAGAAAGTTGGTCAGAGCCACTGTATACGTTGCTTACACTTTCAGGTAGGACTAAATTAAGTTGTACAACTTAATTGTACGATCCCATGCTAGATATCTTATTATTTTTATTTTTATTTAATTTAGGATATATTCATCACAAAAATTTGTTGTAATTTCATCTCATAATATCAAATCATATAAATTTGTTGATTAAAAAGAAAATACAATTAACAAGGTTATCTGATTTAATTTTTTTTTTTTTTTCCCATATCTTCTCATAGAAATGTAATTCTACACATAATTTTTCCAAAGACAGATGAATTCCTAATTATATAAGCTCAAATAGAAGATCAAATAAAAGACTTAGGATGATTTGTAGTTGCGGTATAATTCCATCTCACAATATCAAATCATATAAATCTGTAGATTAAAAAGAAAATAGAATTAACACAATTATGTGATTTGATATATATATATATATATATATATATATATTTCACATCTTCTCACAGAAATGTAATTCTACACATAACTCTCCCAAATAAAGATGAGTTCCTGATTCTATAAGCTCAAGTAGAAGATCAAATAGAAGATGACTTAGTATGATTCGCAATTACGGTGTAATTCCATCTCACAATATCAAATCATATAAATTTGTAGATTAAAAAGAAAATAGAATTAACACAGTTATATATCTGATTTGACCTTTTTTTTTTTTTTCACATTTTCTCATAGAAATGTAATTCTACACATATTTCTTCCAAAGACATAAGAATTCCTGATTCCATAAGCTCAAATAAAATATCAAATGGAAAATGACTTAGTATGGTTCGCAATTGTAGTGTAACGAACTTTGACAAATATTGGTGTACGTGTGAATCAGTTTATAAAAATGTGTAATAATATCGGACTCATAAAAAATTGTTACGAACCAGACACTACATTGCATATCAGCCTATACAAAGAATCATGCTTATAAGTAGTCGAATAATGAAATGAAAAATAAGAATCTAGACATGCTCTGTGTGAACAATTAGGTAATTTTTATTTATTTATTTTTTTAGTATAAAAAAAAAAAATGAAAGACTGACTCCAAAAACTGAAATATCTACCAACTAGACGACGGAACTATCTACCAACTTCACTGTTGTAATTTACTAGTAAAAAAAAAAGGAGTTGGTCAAAGCCATGTACCATTTATTCAGCAGCTCTTACATCTATTGAAAAAACTATTAATTATTTGAACACTAAAATACTATTCACGTGAAACATTCCTTTCATATAAAGATGAATAGATATGCATAACTGAAATAATTTAAACTGTCAAAAAATAAAATCAAAATTTAAATGCCAAAACATAGTAATGTATTCATGATGAGAAAGACTTGTCAAATATGCCCACTAACTTCTTTATTTTCACTCCCACAAACAGAATAAATAAATTAAAATAAATTAAATTGGTACATAATCTGTGGTTCAATCCCGCTACGAGCCACCACTACAAAGCTGGCATGAATCAAGGAAGTTGCTGGAGATTCCTCTTCTGCCCCGGAATGGTCCAAAACAAAGATCTACAATAAGATCATTTGAAAATTAAGCTGATTTTTTAATCCATTAAAAAAATATGTCAAGCTAATTGTAGATTAATTGACATGCACAAAGTTGGAAAAAAAAAATATATATATATATATATATATATATATATATATATATTTATTTATTTATTTATTTATTTTTGCCGTATATATATATCTAGTCAGGTATGAGTCATGATGACATGGATTTAAAAAAGTGAACAAAAATATCACATATTTATTGTCAAAGACAATATTTTAATAAAATGTGACACAATACGTAAATAAAATAAAAGCATCTGTCCAAATAATCCAAAAGTTCACATGCACATAGCATCAAGATTTTATTAATGAATATTAAACCACAAATATAGACAAGAATTAATTAATAAATGTGAAGAAAATTATACAATTATCATTAATCTAATATCACAATGATCAATTTAGCAACCCCCAAACCAAGGTGATGTTTGATAAAAACTTAAGTCATATAATTCTTTTTAATTGATGTTGCTCTCATGTTTCGCGTGTTCATGTTCTCATGTTTCGCACATGTTTTTGCTTATATTTTTCACTATTTGTGATTTAATGTAAACCATGTTAGGCAAAAATGAAAGACAAGTTACAAGGTGTCAAATAATCGGATTAGTGCAAAAAACCCCATCTGCTATCGATATAGTGCAAAACAATACATGTGTGGTATAAAACCCCCCTATACTATCAATATGGTGCAATTACCCCCTATTCACATAAAAAGACACTAATACCCTCTCTAATATAAATTTTTGGGTTAAGTGCGAAAAATAACCCTGATATATAGGGTTTGTGAAAAAATAGTCCCTACTTTTTTAAAATGTGCATTTCAGTCCATAAAATTTAAAAAATATGAAAATTAATAAGCCCCTCTGTCCACTTTTTGATCAAAATTGACATAAAATAAATTCAAAAACCCTATTTTGCCCTTTTCATTTCCTATCCTACCCTTATCTCCTACGCTCCACCACCACCACCACCACTACGTTTATCCTGGCCATTCAATTCAACCCCATAATCAAAGTTCAGCGCCGATCTGTTGAGTTAACTCAGTATGTTATCAAACAAAACCATATCATAAACCCAACTGTTGGTGGCTGTTGGTGTTGGTGAAGGACGGCGAGCTCGAAACGCTGTTATTGTGTCATCGGTGATGGCAACTAATGAGAAAGGTCTGGATTTGTTGGTGTTTGCCATCCGGTGAGGATGAGAGCTTGCCGCCAGAGTTTGGTTGACGGTGAAAGGTTGAGGTCTCATTCTACAACGATGAGATGGCGAATGGTAAACCTCTTGAGGTGGCTCCAAACGAGAGTAGTTCGATCCGCCGCCTTTGAGGAAGAGGTTAGTGGGGTTGGCCAAGTACAGTCTGGCGGCGATGAGGGCCTCTGCGATGTCTATGAGGCTCAACCACTACTTTACTCCCTCCCTTCATTCCACCACCACATCCACTGCGGCCACCTCTGCCCCTTCATCTCCCTCCATCACCTATACCGCCACTACAGCTTTTAAAGCCGCCGCCACCTCTGGGGCCTCCAGGGCTTCTTCCTCCTCCAAAGCCCCTTCCTCCTCTCCTTCCATCACCTCTACCGCGGCCACCTCTGCCCCTTCCTCTCCCTCCATCACCTTTACCACCACCACGAATTTTAAAGCCGTCGCCACCTCCGAAGCCCCTTCCTCCTCTTCCTCCTCCGAAGCCCCTTCCTCCTCTTCCTCCATCACCTCGGCCGCCTCTGAACCCTCCCCACGACCTACAAATCAATCAACCAAATACAAAGAGAAAAAAAAAATAATAAATAAATCATCTAAAATTGTAATTTTACATTGTCTAATTTTTTAATATTATTTCATTTATATGAGAGAGGGTATTAATGTCTTTTTATGCGAACATGAGGGTAATTGCACAAAATTGATAGTATAGGAAGGTTTTATACCACATAGGGACTGTTTTGTACTATATCGATAGTAGAAGGAGTTTTTTGCACTTAATGTACCCAAGGGCAAAATAGAGTTTTGGAATTTATTTTACGTTAATTTTGACCATAAAGTGGTCAGAGGGGCTTATTTGTACATTTTTTGAATTTTATTAACTAAAATGCATATTTTCAAAAAGTATGGACTATTTCTATACAAGGTGGGTTTTTTTGCCCTTAACCCAGTGGAAAATACAAAAGGAATTAAACTGCGAGCCAGTGTTAGGTTGAAGTTGAGTATTACACATTTAACTCACAAAATTAACTCATACATTGGTAAAAATCAGAAGAGCCTGCTTGCAAACTCTTCTGTACTGGAATCTGCATTTCTTGAAGAAGAAGAAGAAGAAGTTGCAAGGTTTCTGAGCTCGGCCAAACTCCGACCGAGTTTCAAAGCCACTTCTGCTTCAAAGAGTTCCCCATTTTCTCTTCTGCCAACCTCTCCTTCCTTCAAAGTTGATTCTATTGTCTCCTCCATGAGCCTAAAGAATCCGGCCGAGCTCCGATACATCTCAAACACCATCCCAACCTGACCACCATGCTCTAAAGTGTTAACCACAGTGGCCAAAGCTCCAAACACAACTCCAAAAACAACAGCCCATGACCCACCATGCCAAGCCGATCCCGCGAAAGCAGACCCAATCGAGGCTAAACCAGTAAACAAAGGGCCACAAATAGCTAAAGCCTTGTTAACCTTCAAAGCCAATTTGCTTAGCCTCACATATTCTGCAGTGTCTTTCCTTCTCAAAACCCTAACAACCTCCTTCATCTCATCCTCAAGCGTCTCACTCCACCCATTGTTCTTCACTTCACCATTAACAGACGAATACTTGTCTTGTTGATGATGATCAATACTTTCCAATTGCTTTGGCCACCACTCACTAGGTTCTACTTCTTTCGGAAACTTTTGTAGCATTGCTCCTAGCAATGGAAGTGGATAAGCTCTATCAAGAGCCAAAACCTTCTCCATTGCATCGTTCACATCCTTCATCGTGGTCGGGACTCGAAGAGCTATACTGGACTTGATCTGCTCATGCAGCTGCTTAAATAGTCTAGCCGCATTCCGTTGTTCCTCTGCTAACTGAGAGGGTTGAATCTTGTTCATCGCCATCAGAAACCCAGTGGCAAACACATAGAGTAGAGTGGATGAGAGCTTTAAAGCCAAAAGTGTTGCTCCCAATCCACTCATTGCTGCGAGTCCTGCCATGGTTGCCGCCGCGATTGTCATTCCATTGATGGATGTTAGGAGAAGGTGGTTCCAGTTATCGCGCTGCGCTCCAATGTTCTTGTGCATTTCAGCCCTGTCTGCAACAACATCCATTATTGCATAGAGCTCTTCTACCACCTTAGAATTGGTGGTGGATTTATAAGTAGGTACTTCGTATTTTGTGAAAGTACTCACTCTGTGCTTCTGGGTTGAAGTTGTCATCATGGTTTGGAAGCCATTTTGTATGTTCAATCTATGAGGAGCTGAAAGTTCAGCTTTATGAAGTTTTTGGGAACAGAGATTAGCTTTGAATAGTACTTTATGGGAAGAAGAAGAAGAAGATGAGAGAATTGAAGCTTGAAGGGTGGCCATGGTCTGTAAGGTTAATTTGTGATATATATATATATATATATATATATATATTTAGTTGTTGCCGGTGTTCTGAGGAAGTTTGCGGACAGATAGATGAGTAGTGATTTTGTTTGAGGTTTCACTTGAGCTTTATATAGAGGTACTGGAGTACTAACTATGAAATGGCAGTGGGTTGGTTGGCCTTCAACGTTTTGAATGGCTATTTGGGTCAAAATCTTTTTTTGCTTTTTCTTGTGTTACTTTTATTTAAGGTTATAAGTTTGACTTTGAATGGCTATGGGAAAAAAAAAAACAAAAAAGGTAAATAAATATAAACACTTATGCACTAAAGGGTCAAAAGTTGATAGGAAGTTGGGAATGACATATTGCAGGCAAACTTTAATATTATTTTGGACAAATTACATTGATCTTCTTTAAAGTTTGGATAAATTACATATAAGTAGATTATTTAAAATTTATTATTTTTGATAAATTACACTGATCTTTGGAGGTTAGTCGCACATGGCACCTAGAGGAGTAGTGAAGCTGGTTGTGTGTGCTACCAAGTTTGGAGGGCCTTAGTATTTTCTTTTTTTCTTTTTTTTTTTTGAAGGCCTGGCTCCTTCTCCTCCTCTTTTGTGGCTTCTTCAGTTGCGGGTGTTCTTGCTTCGTGTCTGAGGTTGTTGATGGTTGTTTTGCGTATGTGCTAGGCATAGCGTAGGTTAAATGTGTTCTCAGGATTTAAATTCAGAAGAGCACAGTGAAGAAAAAAAAAATTTGAAGAATTTTAAGAAATAGAACGAAAAACACAAATAAGAAGAAAAAGAGAAAGAAAAATGATAGAAGTTTGAAAGAAAAATGAGGAACTTAAAAGAAATTTACAAAGTAAATGAAAAAGGAAAAAATTAACAGAATTTTGGAAATTTAGAGGGAGCATAATATACAAATGTCTATATACATGTACAAAAAAATTATAAAAAACCGGGGGGCAACACATTTTGATGGCATGTAAATTATAAAAATTACAAATGTCTGTTCTCCTATGTATGATGGGTGGTTGGGGATCTGTAGGACTGATGTGGTGGTTTCTAAAAGGTGTTGCTAGTATGAGTTTGTTGGGCTATTTTTAAATTGCAAGGGGACCAAAAAAACACAAGATGCTTATATTTTTGGAGGAAAAAAAACTTATAGCGAAAGTGTAAAATTCTTTTTTTAGATAGAATAATGATTTGTAGTGCCACAAATTTATGTGGGTGGGGTGCTAATGTTATCACAATGTTACTAATATTCTTAACGTCGTCATAACATTAGCCTGTTCATACATAAAAATTTTAATAAATAAATAAATTAGAAGTTTAAAACTCTTGTTTTAAATAAGATAATAATTTAGTGTGAAAGTCGTACAATTCAGATGAATTTATACCAGTGAAACTAACGTCATCATGCCATCAAAATTTTCTTGTAGAAAATTAATTTGGTTTGTCTGACCGTAAAAAGAAAATATGGAGTAACATATTTTACTTTCCCTTTGTGTCAGAGTTAGAATCTGCCCACGAGACAGCCGTTGATCACGTGAGAATGGTACAAGCCATGGCCGGCGAACGCGCCTCCGAACCAATGGTCCAATCCCCACGCGATGTTGTTGACCATCGACCAACTGAACCGCAATTTACATGCGCACCTTCTCACATTATGAATTTCTGCATATCATCATCTACTAATACTGACTTCTTTGTTTTTTTTGTTCTTTTGTGTAAGCAGTGTCATAGAGACTTTGTAGAAAGTGGCTTTTAGTCAAAGGTAGAAATTTCATGTCACCAACTGCCCACAAGAGCACAGACTCTTTTGTGTGGATACGGTTAAGACTTTTGTCTACGTGACAAACGACTTTTTTTTTTTTTTTTTTTTTGTTAAAAGTGACAAACGACTTGTTTGAATGTTTGTTTTTTTATTTTAGACACCACGAGGATATAGCAACATGGGGAACACGCATGTCTAGAATCGATGCGAATTAACACCGCAATTAAATGTGTCATAATTGGTTTTGACCTACTAATTTTTTTGCAATTTGTATAACAAAGGGTACATTTAGTAACGTTTTTGTTATTTGTTTTTGCAGTTTTAAGAAAATAGAAACATGATTTTGTTTTCTTGAATGAAAAAAATAAAATAAAATAATGATATTTATTAACGCTTGTTGTTGTCACAAATTTGAAAATATAAAACAATAACTGTATTTAGTAATACAACATATTTGCTATAAAATGTACATAATATTCTTTAAATTTTTTATTTTATTCATACCAAGAATTTTAGGAGTTAGTAATTAGAGGGGAGGGTAGATAACTTGAACACAAACTCTTAGATACAGAGAGCAACCCAACCACTAAGGTACCACACTTGTTTCCATTAATATAAAAAAGGCATAAATCTAGAAAATCTAATTTAAATTTATAAATCTTAAAAATACACAATACACTATAAGTACAAAATTAAATATACCAAGACAAAAATATTCTCACCAATTATGTATATAAATACATATATATGCATGATGTATACATTTATTATGTGATATATAATATATTTAGCATATGATAATTTATTATGAATAAAAATAAAAAATAAAAAATATTAAATAATATATCATATATGTAATAAAATATATATTTTGTTATAATATTGTAAATTAATTATAATTTAATATTTACATATAATATAACATAGATATGACATATAATAATATAAAATATCTACTGCTTAATAATTTAATAACATTATATTCTATATATAAAATAATTTACATTATTATTTAATATATTATATATTAAAATATATTTTTATCAAATAAAAAATAATATACAATATTTAATATATTCTGTATTAAAAATAAATATTTTTATTAACATTTAATATGCAACTTAGTATATAACACAAATAATATGAATTTTATTTGAAATGAATAGTGTCTGTGCAGTAACATTAGTAAAAACGTTTCTGCGCTACAGTGCCAAAAACATAAAAAATATCATTTTGATGTTTCCTCTTTATTCACAAAAATTAAAAACGTTTTCGCTTATAGAAAAACAAAAACATTTTATTGAACGCGATTTTTTTTTCTCGTTTGCCTTTTTAGAGGTTAATAACAAAAAACAAGAAACGTTTCTCGTTACTAAACGCAGCCTAAACTTGTTATATACGCGTCATATTTATGTTAAAAATGACCCGTTTAATTAAACGCCTAAACGTGTTGAATAAACATGTCGTATTTGTGTAAAAAAAATTACTTAAATGTGTCATATCGTATCATATCAAGTATTGACCCATTTATTAAACGGGTTATACGTATCGTGTTACCCGTATAATAATCGTGTCATATTCGTGTCAAGGTTTCTTGACACGAATAATAATCATGTCATGTTCTGTCGACTTATATAACAGATACCCATGCTATGACATGACACGAACACGACCTGCCAACGCGAATTGCCATCCCTAAATAGTTTGAGCTTGAATTTGAACTTGGCTTGCTAAGTAATTGGTTTGTGTTTATTTGTTTAATAAACAAATCTAAGTTTAAACATAATTTTTAGGAAAATGATTCTTGTACCGAATAGTTGTAGTAAATTGCTAGACCTACTCTTTTAATTGACCAATTATGCAACAAATAAGGAAGTGGAGTCCTCTATTTAGGTATATTTGGTATAAATAGCCAATTAAAAATTATTCGATTAGGCAATTCATTACCAGTATGCGGTATGAGTAGCACTTAGGGCTGCAACTTGAGCGTGCTAACCCAAGCCCAACCTAGAAATTTTGAAATTGGGGCTTATATTCACAAATCGGATTCATATTCAGGTTGGGTTTTGTCAAAACCCGAGCATATTCGGGTTAGGCCCGGGCTCAACTCGAACCCAACCCGAAACCCAAAAAAAATTTTTTTTTTTTTTTTTTTTATCTTTTCCTTTCTCTCTTCTCTCTCTTCTTTCTCTTTCTCTCTCTGCCGCCGTCCATGCACTTCTTGCAATCCTAAAACGAACGGCGAAGCTTGAAAGTTAAGAGGGGGGCATGCTTGAGAGTTGAGAGTTACAGTACCACTGAAGGGTCGGAGCTTGATCGTCCGGGAAGAAATTGCAGGACTCATCGCCACTAAAGAAATTGTGTTCCTTGATCTTCACAAACTGTGGCTGATATACTTTCTGGGCATCTCCCAAAATCGCTTTCGACTTCGAGAATTGGAAGCAATTCATCGCCGACAACAGCGACGAAAATGACAAGCAGTTGAATTTAAACATCGCGGGCGGTGGCGACACCGTGAACGGGTGGTTCTGAAATGGGTTTTGATTTTTTAAACAATCTGAAATGATATGCCGATATGGGTTTTAATATAGGTACTAGGTTTTGAACTTTTGATTCTTGCAGACAGATAGATAAATTGAAATATATGGGTGTTGAACTTCTGATTCTCGTTGATTTTGTAGTTTGCATTTGCACAGAGAGAGAGGGGGGGGGCAATTTCAGAGTTGAGAACAGAATAGAGATGGAGGTGATTGGGGGAGGCTGAAATGATTTGCCCTAAAAATATATTTATTTTTAATAATAATATAATAAAATATATATAATAGTATACGTACGTATATATATATATATATATATATATATATATATAACTTTACGAAAAAAAAATTAAAAAAAAATCAACCCATCAACCTGACCCAACCCACCCGAAAATATTTGGTTCGGGTTATGACCACAACCCATATTGGGTACAATTCGGGTTGTCCCAACCCAACCCGATTCGGGTTGAGGTTGGGTTCAGGCTGGGCTGGGTTAGGCCAGCCCAACTTGCAACCCTAGTATCACTACTTTAATTTTTAAGATTATTTATTAAATGAGTCAATCTGAAAAACCCTAATTTATTTATTAAATGAACCAATGTTACTTGAAAGCAATATTGTTTAAAGCCATTAAAATTTAATTTCCCTTAAAATTAGTAAATCTCAATTGTATGTAATATGTTTTATACTATTATATTTTCATATATTTGTCATGTTGGTGTCATATTGTTTTTAAAAAATTCTTATTGTTATATA